TATTTCCTCATTGTGCGCTAAAGGCTTGAGTCCTGGTAGAAACTCCTAGTTAAACCCGTAAACAATTACCTCAAAGATCAGAAATCTAAATAGGAACCCAAAGCATGCATTTGCTAGTTAGTCTCTTTTTTTAAGATTAACTTTTCTATTGGAATAATTTTAGATTTATAGAAAAGTTACAAAGATAGTACAATTTCTGTATACCCTTCACTCAATTTCCCCCACTGTTGACATCTTACCAAACCATGGTATATTTGTCAAAACTAGTTAATGATATTGGTGCATTACTACTTGCTAAACTCTAGGCTTTATTAGGATTTTGGCATTTTTCTCCCTAATGTCCTTTGCCCGTTCCAGGCTCTAATCCAGGATCCCTCATTAAGTTTAACGATTACCCTCTTGGCTGCACCTTTGTCTGTAGTGATGAGATAGAGCAGTGGTTCTCAACCTTCTGCCCTTTAAATAAAGTTCCTCATGTTGTGACCCAACCATAAAGTTATTTTTGTTGCTACTTCATAACTGTAATGTTGCTACTGTTATGAATCGTCATGTAAATATCTGATATGCAGGATGGTCTTAGGTGACCCCTGTGAAAGGGTCCTTCAACCGCCAGAGGGGTCACGACCCACAGGTTGAGAACCGCTGAGATAGAGGAAGGATGTGAACTCAAGAAAGTAAGGTGCTTCTTGAAACCTAAGGAAAGGAAAGATCAGTCCCGTTGCACGGGCGCAGCTCCCAGACATCCTGATGTGCTTGCTCTTTGGAAGTGACCTTATTTAGGCTAAAGAAAGGAGAATCACAGGGCGGTCGGCAGCTATTTCTCTAGCCCTTGTAAGGAGATGGCGGGATGTTCTGATATTGTTAAGAGACACATTGGATTTACAAACTGGTAGCTACCAAGTTAGCTGTAGTCACTTAGCTAAACAGCAGGGACCCAATGAGCCTGGGGAAGTGCCATTTTTGAAGGTGAAACAGTCTTTGGCAGTGATGAGCCATCCCCAGCTGGGATTGGAGGAAGGGCTGCAGAGAAGATGGGGGCGGGAGCTCTACTTGGTGAGCTCCAGTGGCCAGCATGGGGGCACAGGTTCTCTGGTTCTCAGTGGGCCTCTCCACAGTCTCACTGCTGGAGCCCCAACTCCCGAGGGGCAGGATTCAAACTGGCTCCAGTCTGGCCTTGTGGTGGTCCAGCCAAGATGGGAGCAATGTGGCTCCTCCCAAGTGGAGCCCCTCTCTCCTCACTGCCACAAGCTCTTTCTCTTCCTCGAGTGTGAGAGTGTGCGTTGGTCCCAGGCTGGCTCCCTCCTCAGAGAACTCACTGGGGAGAAGGGCCAACACCTCCACATTTGACCCCCATGTGGGGTGGGGGTCTCAGAATAGCAGGAGCTCTCTCCAAAAATTTCTTCACAAATCCTCTCTCCATCCTACTCCGGAAGCAGGTGTGAAGCCCCAAGAGTCCTGAAAGCGGGTCCCAGGCCATCCCCTGGGTGAACTCCAGAGCTCTGGCACCTTGCTCTGGCGTTTCGCCTCTCTGGTCTCCTGGTGTCCTGTGGGGAACTTCAGTTTTAATGTCCTGTTTCAACTATTCATTCATTCTGTGGTCTATGAGATGGGTGCTGTGTGCCCAGCCCAGGTTATTTGGGAAAACCACACACACACACACACACACACACACCCCAGTACCAGTAGAGTGCTGTGGGTGGTGTGTGTTAAAAGCTACTGGAGACCCAAGGAGGGAGGACAGCAGGGCCACTCCTGGGAGGGGAGGAAGAGGCGGGGATAGCTTTCAGGATCCTCAAGATTTTCCACCCTCTTGAGTTCCCATGGTGTCCGGTGACATGAAGGGGCGGGCGTTGTCTGACATCTGCGCCCACCCCTGCAGGATGTTCGAGCTGACCTGCACCCTGCCTCTGGAGAAGGACCTGAAGATCACTCTCTATGACTACGACCTCCTCTCCAAGGACGAAAAGATCGGGGAGACGGTCATCGACCTGGAGAACAGGCTGCTGTCCAAGTTTGGGGCTCGTTGTGGGCTCCCACAGACCTACTGTGTGTAGGTGCACAGGGGCAGGCTGCTTCTCTGACAACAATCCCACCCCCTGAACACTGAGCACGTATTGTGTGCCAGCTCACCGGTGTTCTCTCACTCAGTCCAACTGGGTCTTGTGCCAACTCCACAGATAAGGAAACGGAGGCCCGGAGACGTTATAGCTTATAAGTGGTGGGAAGAGGATTTGAGTCTCTTTGTCTGACTCTAAGAACCTTGCTCTTCATCATGTTGTTATGATCCACTTCTCCTTAAGGGCCTGGAGAGGGAAAGAGGAAAGGAGAGCTTGCAGAGGCAGACAGACAGTGGGACACATGGGCCCCAGCTGGACCCTGAGGGGATTTATGTTAGGTGAAGTCATGTGTGGACAACCCCCGCCCGTTTCCTACCAACTTGGCTCTGATTTGGGTCTGATTGTCTAAATCTGGAAATTGGAAACATCTAAGTTCTGATTCTGTGCGTATGTATTTGAACAAGTCCGATGATCTACGGGCCTCAGTTTCTCTATCTGTAAAGTGGAGATCCCCAGTCATAGTGAACGACCAGATGGGGTGCCCACTGTAAAGGGAAGGGTGGGTGATGTGCATGTGGGTACACAGGTCACTGCACGCCCCCTGCCCTCATCAGTGTCCTGGAGCATCTCTTCTTTGCCTTGTGTTTGGGCCTCAGCTCTGGACCGAACCAGTGGAGGGACCAGCTCCGCCCCTCCCAGCTCCTCCACCTGTGCCAGCAGCATCATCAGTGTCCTGGAGCATCTCTTCTTTGCCTTGTGTTTGGGCCTCAGCTCTGGACCGAACCAGTGGAGGGACCAGCTCCGCCCCTCCCAGCTCCTCCACCTGTTCTGCCAGCAGCACAGAGTCAAAGCCCCCGTGTACCAGGCAGACCGCGTGATGTTTCAGGATAAAGAATACACCATTGAAGAAATAGGTGAGCTGCCCGCTGGCCAGGAAACCTGTGGGTCTTCCTCTGTCTCCTTCTCTCTTGTTGGCCCCCTCCTGTCATAAAGGGGCCAAATGGATGCAACCCACACCAGCAGGGTGTGGTCTGGGATCTTCCAGGGTGGCACAGAGGGGGTCGGTGCTCTGGGGATCAGTACTTACCTGTGACCCTGCTGTAAAAATAAGAGGTCAAGGTGGAGCCAAGGTCAGAGCTCAGTTCAATGCCAGAGTGAGGCTCTTCTGAAGGCAAGAGCAAGGGTGAGTCTGAAGCGGTGGTCAGGGTCATGGTTAGGATCAGTCTGCTTCTGGCTTTGGGGAATCAGACTTTGATCTGAGCTTGGGGTACAGTGCACTGAGAAATAGTTTTCTACCTGAGTCGCACTAGCCCACTTGTCCCCGATGGTCCATTCTGAGCCCCCACTCACAGATCCTGCACCTAAAGCATCCACAGGGCAGGCAGGAAGTCTGGCAGTCCCCACCTTGCCCCTGGGTCTGCCTAATGCTCATGCCTGAGAATCCCACCACGTGCTTCCTGCATGTCGAGGTGCCCATAGGCCTGCGTTGCCCGCCCGGAGCAGCTCAGACTCCCTGGTGGTATGTATAGGCCCAGCTGGCCCCTCGCTCCTGCTGGTTTCAGAGATGTCTGATGTCAGAGCTGGTGCTGAGGTTAGAAAAGGGGAGCAGTGGCTTTGACTACCCCACCCAAATCCCCTCCTTCTCGTTCTGTTTTGCTGACTCCCAGGTCATGGCTGAGCCAGGCCCTCTCCATCAGGCCCTGCTCCTGCCCCATTCTCTTTTCCTAAGAATATGCATCTGTTTTAGGGGTGGTCTCATTTCCTTCTGCTGGTCTGTGAGCAGCGTTAGCCCAGGGGCCAGGACTAATGGTCATACATTGGTAGGAAAGGAAAGCCAGAAAGCTAGAGTTGGTGGGGACTCTTTTTTTTTGCAGATAAGGTTGTTGAGGCCTCGAGTGGCTAATGACCTGCCCAAAGTCACCCAGCCAGTTAGGAGCAGAGCCAGGTTCCTGGACCGGTGGTCCTGTGATGCCCTGCTGCTTTTTTAGTGACACCTATTAAAGGGTCCAGGACAGGTTTGATGAAGGGGACAGGACAGGTTTGATGAATGAACACGTGTGTATGTGTTTGTGTGTGTATGTGCACACGAGACTGAACATGGGCACACATGAGTATACATACCTGTGTGTGTAGATATGTAGAAGCTCCAGCCCCCAGTCAAGGTGTCTCATGGGAGCTCCAAGTTCAAGTTGCTGGCTGGTTGGCCAGGCTTGTCAGGGTCAGAACCATCCCTGAGTCCTCACTTGGTCCAGCGCCAGTCCCGTGTAGAACGGAGCTCCCCCTGGAAAGCACAAGGGGGAGAGGAGTGTTTGTCTAGTCATGCACCTTTCCCTAAGTGAGTGTGTGGTCTCAGCCGCCCTGCTGACCAGCTGGGCGACTGCTCTGTGCTTCATTTCTGTCATCTGTACAATGGGGATAATAGTAGCACTTACCTTCTAGGGTTATTATGAGGATTCAACCTGTTATATCTGTGAAGAACAGTGCCTGGTTCCTGCTTTATAAGTGTTTGCTGTTATTGCTATTATTTTAGCTACTGCTACTAATAGAACAGCTTGCATGAAGCAGAGAATAGCACTAAGAGCATGTAGATGCCCAGTCTGGGAATAGAGGTTACTGAGGCTCAGAGTTCAGAGTAGTCAGGGAGGGAGGGCTTCTTGGAAGGGGTGGGTTTTGGTGGGCAGGCAGGATTTGAATGGGTGGGAAAGAGGACGAAGCGCTTTATAGAAGAGGCTTGGGGAATGGGGAATCTGGAGTTTAAGTGCTGGTCTGTGAGCAGCGTTAGCCCAGGGGCCAGGACTCATGGTCATACATTGGTAGGAAAGGAAGGCCAGAAAGCTAGAGTTGGTGGGGACTCACATTAGCCTGTTTTTGCAGATAAGGCTGTTGAGGCCTCGAGTGGTTAATGACCTGCCCAAATCACCCAGCCAGTTAGGAGCAGAGCTAGATTCCTGGACCGGCGTCCTTCTGTGATGCCCTGCTGCTTCCCTAGTGGCACCTATTAAAGGGGACAGGACAGGTTTGATGAATGAACACGTGTGTATGTGTTTGTGTGTGTATGTGCACACGAGACTGAACATGGGCACACATGAGTATACATACCTGTGTGTGTAGATATGTAGAAGCTCCAGCCCCCAGTCAAGGTGTCTCATGGGAGCTCCAAGTTCAAGTTGCTGGCTGGTTGGCCAGGCTTGTCAGGGTCAGAACCATCCCTGAGTCCTCACTTGGTCCAGCGCCAGTCCCGTGTAGAACGGAGCTCCCCCTGGAAAGCACAAGGGGGAGAGGAGTGTTTGTCTAGTCATGCACCTTTCCCTAAGTGAGTGTGTGGTCTCAGCCGCCCTGCTGACCAGCTGGGCGACTGCTCTGTGCTTCATTTCTGTCATCTGTACAATGGGGATAATAGTAGCACTTACCTTCTAGGGTTACTATGAGGATTCAACCTGTTATATCTGAAGAGCAGTGCCTGGTTCCTGCTTTATAAGTGTTTGCTGTTATTGCTATTATTTTAGCTACTGCTACTAATAGAACAGCCAGAGAATAGCACTAAGAGCATGTAGATGCCCAATTTGGGAATAGAGGTTACTGAGGCTCAGAATTCAGAGTAGTCAGGGAGGGAGGGCTTCTTGGAAGGGGTGGGTTTTGGTGGGCAGGCAGGATTTGAATGGGTGGGAAAGAGGACGAAGCGCTTTATAGAAGAGGCTTGGGGAATGGGGAATCTGGAGTTTAAGTTGATGGCAATGGGGAATCTGGAGTTTAAGCCTGGAGCCCAGGGACAGCGAGGTTTCCCCTACAGAGGGTGAGACGTGAGGACCAGAAGAAGTATGTCTGGGCTTGGGTGAGGCTGTTGGGGTTAGGGGCATCCCTAGGACTACAGGTTGCTCTATCTCTTGCTCATTCAGCCCCAGCAACGTTTCTGTCTTCTCTCTGCGGCAGAGGCTGGCAGGGTCCCGAACCCACACCTGGGCCCAGTGGAGGAGCGTCTGGCTTTGCACGTCCTCCAGCAGCAAGGCCTAGTCCCTGAGCATGTGGAGTCTCGGCCCCTCTACAGCCCCCTCCAGCCAGACATCGAGCAGGTAGGATGTCAACCATCAGGCCTCAGAGTCCCCAACCTTAAGCTAGCACCACCCCAAGGACAACATGGACATCCCAGAGGCACCACCGGGGATCCCAGGATTTGGTCAGCCCCTTCTTGAGGGTGTTCCTCCTCCTCAGTCTGAGTGTCACCACTGTTGGCCTTCCAGGGCACCTGTTGGGCCTGGCCTCCTCTGGCTACCTGCAGGCCCTAGGGCAGTGATGGCAAACCTTTTGAGCTCGGCGTGTCAGCATTTTGAAAAACCCTAACTTAACTCTGGTGCCGTGTCACATATAGAAATTTTTTGATATTTGCAACCATAGTAAAACAAAGACTTATATTTTTGATATTTATTTTATATATTTAAATGCCATTTAACAAAGAAAAATCAACCAAAAAAACGAGTTCGCATGTCACCTCTGACACGTGTGTCATAGGTTCACCATCACTGCCCTAGGGCCTGGGGAATGAGGCTGAGTTGCCTCCTTCATCTCCACGTAGGCCAGACCCCTGACTTCCCATGAGTCATTCTGAAGCCTTGCTGCTTCAGCCTGGCCTCAGGGTGCCCTCCTGTATCATCAGTCATGACATCTCAGATGGCTGGCCCCATGCTGGGCTGCCATGGGGAGTTCAGACAGGGCGACCAGCACCCTGTGACAGAATGGCAGAGCAGCCACAGAGAACAGTCATCGGGAGGGCCACAGGTGTCCTGCCACGCAGGAGGCTGAGCAGAGGGACAGCAGGCCCAGGGTGGGTGAGCTCAGGAGGAAAGAAAGGGTTTCAGGCAAAGAAGGGCCGAGGCAGCTATGAAGGTGCTGTGAGAACAGGAGGGGACCCCATCTCTGCTGTTTGGAACTGAGCTCTCTTCCCCTTGGTGGTGTGGCCACCAGCTCCCCAGAGGGACACAGCCCATGTCCAAATGTCAGCTCTTGCCTTCTCTAGCTCTGTGACCCTGAAGAATTTACTGCAACTCCTGCTCCTTCTTCTATAAGATGGGGACAAAAAACACGTGACCTGCGGAGATAGGGAGCTGAGGGGCAGCAGGTAGATGGTTTCCTGTTGTAGAAATCCTGGGAGCCTTTCTATGATGAAACATGCTCTCTGACCCCCCCAGGACTTAGAGCATGCCATCCCCTTGGCCTGAAATATTAAAAAATGAGTTCGCGTGTCATAGGTTCGCCATCACCGACTTAGAACATGCCATCCCCTTGGCCTGAAATGTCCTCTTCCCCTTTTCCATCTGGCACACTGAGTCTCAGCTCAGATAGCACCATCTCTGAGAAGCCTTCCCTGACCTTGATCCCCAGGCACAGACCCAAGTCATCAGTCTGTGGGCCATGGGCTCACCTTTGCAGTTGGCCCTGTGGTCCCACTTGGGGCACCTCCCCTATGGGGTGGTGAGCCTCTCCATGGCCGGGCCTGGATTTTCTCTGTCATGTGCCCCAAGAGCAGATGGTCATAGATGTTGGTTGAATGAAAAGGATGTGAGAGAACAGGGTCATGTCTCCTCAGGGGAAGCTGCAGATGTGGATTGACCTGTTTCCGAAGGCCCTGGGGCGGCCTGGACCTCCCTTCAACATCACCCCACGGAGAGCCAAAAGGTGACTTGCTCCAGCCACAGGCTTAGAGCTGAGCAGGGTGGTGGGATGGTCCTCGCCAACTTGGGTGGGACAAGGAGGTTGTTCTTGGGCTGGGCTTTGGACCACCCGGACCACAGGATACCAGTCTTGTCCAGCCAGGCAAGCATCCAAGTCTTCTTGGGCGAGGTGGCTTCTTGGCTTCTCAGTCGAAGACCTCTCCCCCACTGGTGGGAGATCCATGTGATGTGAATAATTCTTCTTCCCCACAGGTTTTTCCTGCGTTGCATTGTCTGGAACACCAAGGATGTGATCCTGGATGACCTCAGCCTCACGGGGGAAAAGATGAGCGACATTTATGTGAAAGGGTAGGGAGTCCTCCTCCTGCCCACCCATCCCAGCCCCACGGTGCTGCCCCATTGGGAAGGGGGCTCTAGGGTAGGGAGGGGGAGGGAAAGAAAGGAAGGTGGGTTTAAGGGTGTGACCTCTGCCTTTGGGGAGTTGTTTCCCGACTAGATTTCTTCTTCCACATTAATATTGGGGTTGACGATGTCTGCCGAGAGAAAGTTTAAAAGTTTGTGGCCTCATTGGTACATCATGGAGATTTCTTGAGAATGATTTCTCCTTTATCATTTACCAAGTTCATGTACCTTCTTAATGCCTCATTTGCCCAAGGTGAGGATGCATATTGTGGTGGAGACCTTAATTAGAACTGTTCTCTAAAATGTGTGTGTCCAGTTGGATGGTTGGCTTTGAGGAACACAAGCAGAAGACGGACGTGCATTATCGGTCCCTGGGAGGCGAAGGCAGCTTTAACTGGAGGTTCGTGTTCCCCTTCGACTACCTGCCAGCTGAGCAAGTCTGCACCGTCACCAAGAAGGTGAGTGTTGTTCCTGTCCCCCAAGGTGCTAGCTCCTGGGCTTTCTGATGTCAGGGTGATCGCACTACCAGCACTGGCATGCCATAGTCATACCCCCTCCGCCCCAGTGCCCCCTCTCTCCACTGGAACAAGCACTGCCATCATTGCAGAATAACCGTCACCATTGTCCCTCACTTCCAGTGTCACATTCTCCATTGTCCCCTTACTCCCAACGTCACCACACCATGTCCCCTCACTGCCAACATTACCACACCATTGTCCCTTCACTGCCAACATTACCACACCATGTCCCCTCACTGCCAACATTACCACACCATTGTCCCTTCACTGCCAACATTACCACACCATTGTCCCCTCACTGCCAACATTACCACACCATTGTCCCCTCACTTCCAGTGTCACCACACCATTGTCCCCTCACTGCCAGTGTCACATTCTCCATTGTCCCCTCACTTCCAGTGTCACATTCTTCATTGTCCCCTCACGGCCAACATCACCACGACCACTGTCCCCATCACTCATGACATTGCCACAGCTTCTCCCACTGCTCCATTACTGCCAAAGCCACCACCACCATCTTCACCATCCCACTACTTCTTCCACTCTCACCATCATTGCTATTGCTGGCATTGCCGCCATCCCACAACCACCCCACACAGGTGCTACAACCATCATATGTAGCTAACTCCAAATCCTAAAACCACTGCCTTTCTCTGAATCCTAGATAAATCAAGAGGAAGGGTCACGGGGTCTGGGTGGGAAACCAGTATGGCTATCATCACGGCAGTGGGGCAGACCTTGTGCAAGCATGTCAAACTCGCGGCCCACTGGCTGCAAGTTTGACATGCTTGCTGTAGAGCTTCCCAAGGGGGTGCCTACCTGGCTGATGGATCGGGTGTTGCTTAGCTACGTTCCTCCTGCTACCTAGTGTCCTACATTTCCCCATCTGGTGCCTGTGGTTATTGTCCAAGCTGGACAGTCACTAGGGAGTGACTCTGCCCTTCCAGGCCTCAGAGTTTTTGTTCTTTTCTCTCCACCTCCCTTCTCTCACCCCAGACTGAAGGCACCCAGGAGAGCCGTCAGCACCAGCCAGAAGGGAGGGGTGGGTTCAGGACCTCTGCTCTTTGTGTCTCAGCATCTTCCAGGGGAGCTCTCATCTGCGCTTTCCTCTTGAAATAGAAGTGAAGAGTTTTCCCCCACTCCTTCCTGGTGGCTCTACACCTGCCCTTAGCAAGCAGACCCAGATCACAATGAGGAGGTGCTGTGGGCAGTGAGGGCTCGCAGCCAGGCTGACTGGAGGTGGAGAGCACCTAGAATCAAGCTTCTCTCCTATTCGACATAGTAAATACCTCTCTGGTATTTCGGTTCTGCTGGTCCGATTTCCGTCCAGAGGTAGCTCACGGCTTCAAGCTGCAAAGGTTCTCTGATTCCCCTTTCTTTCCTGAGTGGTTGAGTGGCTTAAAGAAGGGAAATAATAATGTACCCCAGCCGACTTGTCTTCCTAATTCTCTTCATTACATCCCTTCCGCATGACCCCCTCCCGACTCGACACACAGGATTGTATGCATTCTAGAGAAACCAGAATGTGCTGTGGAGCACTCTGAAGCCGTCAAACAGAAGAAAATATGGGTTAAACAAGGTTAAATGAATTCTTTCACCCAGAGATTGCTGCATAGTGCCTGCCAGGAAATAGAATTGAGCTACAGCCCTGGTTCTGTGCAGGCCAGGAAGGCCTAGCCTATGTGTAGCTTTGATCTTGTCAGCCTTTGCTCAGTGTGCTTGTCTATCACGAGATGTTTCCATAACAAAGCAAATGCTGCCTTTGGTGGGGAGGGCTCTAAACCAAGCAAACAGTTTGCTGTGGACAGACGGAGTGGGGGCTGGGAATGGGGAAGGGAGGGCCGAGGCCTCCTGCCCACCAGCTCTGGTGCTCACCAAGCCCTAAAAGGGGGTAGGCGTGGGGGGAAACTGAGGCTGAGACACGATAGGCCTGCTCAAATGAGAGGCGGGACAACCCCTTCGTTGCGACAGGTGGGGATGTCAGCAAGAAGGTGCAGGACGCAGAGGCTTCTGCATTTTCTACAAAGTAGGAGGAGAGAGAATCTCCCGCTACTGTGGCAGGTGATGTGAGACAAATGGAAAAGGCTGGAGGTAGCTATTATCCTGAGTGAGGGAGAGGAAGAGGGAGAGAGGGAGGGAGAAAGAGAGCGGGAGAGGGAGAGAGAACAGGCTCCTTGCTGGTATGGAGAAAGTTACCCGGAAGTTCTGAGGGCCCAGCTGGGTTGCTAGGTGAGAATTTGAGATGGGTCCATTCTGGCCATGATGGGGTTTCATCCCTGAATTACAGGCACCGCAAGGAAGAGGAGAGAGTTGGGCGGGCTCCTGGTGGCAGAGCCTGGGCCAGCCCTGAGAGGATGAGAGGCCCATGGGGACTGCGGGGTGGAGAGGAGGAAGGGGAGTGGGGAGTCCAGAAGAGGCTCCAGGAGTGGGGAAGGCTGGGGAACGGGCATGCCGTGTGGTGCGGGCTCCCGGAGAGGGTGGCTGGAGGGAGGGCTGGAGGAGGCTGAGAAACAGAGCCCACGGGATTCTGAGGTCACCAGGGGCGTGAGGGAGAACTGGCTTGACCCAGGTCCTTCTGTGGGCAAAGGGCCCTGGGAGGCAAGTGCAGCGTGCACACAGTGGGGCACCAAGGAGCCAGTCTGGGCTACAGGCCCGAGTCTCGGGGTGGGTTTGTGTGGGGGCACTGAGCAGCCTCTGGGCTCCTCGGTCATGCAGCAGAGCCGGCCCTCTGCCGAGGGGTTCAGGGCCTCTGGCAGGCAGGCCCTCCAGGGACCCCATTAACCAGACGAGACTGTCGTAAAGTACAAGGTCTCCTTTCATCCGGCTGCTTTGAACCACCGCTGGTCGCCCTGGCCGCCTCCCCACCTGGAGCCCAGCACACCCACCGGGGCCTGCCTGCGCGTCAGGCACCCACCCTGCAAATAAACAGCTAGTAAAAGGGCCCAGACCGGGAGCGTAATGAGCGCCTGGGACCTGGGGGGCCATTCCCCAGGCTGGAGCCCCAGCCCAGCTGCTCCCACCAGGGGCTGTTTGAACCTCTGGCTCATTACTGAGCCCATAAACCAGGCCGGCCGGAGGAATGGAGGCTGCTGGCGGCCTGCACAGGCGGGCCTGCGGTGCTGGCCATAAAAGCCCCGCCAGAGGAGGCAGGCACCTGCAGGAGGGCCGGGGCCCGGAAAAGGGGGAGGCACCAGACAGGGGCTGGGGGGCCAGGGCCCAGCTGGGGACCTGAGACCCTTCACCAAGTCAGGCCGCGGTCCAGACGGAGGCTGGGTGCTTTGCGAGGTGACCATTGCTCGGGTCATGGTCCCGGTTTAGGGGCTCTGTGGGTTTGCATGGCTCGGGGTGGCCACACAGCAGGCACGAACCTGACTGGGCAGCGAGGCTGTGTGTACGAGGCCCCCAGGGCCAGACAACCACGTGTGGTCAGCCGTGTTCCCCAACTCCCTATGGAGTCTGTCTCTCCGAGACTCAGTCTAGGCCCCTGCTGTGACCTGCAGGCTGGTCGGAATGTTTCCTGTCCTTGCCACTGTTCGGGAGAGGCGACAGTGAGAGGACAGAGGACAGGCATGAGCAGGAAAGCCCCAGTGGCAGTGCTTTGGGTGGAGTGAGTCTGGACCCAAGGTAAACCCAGGCCTCGGCATGCCCAGTCCCCATCCTTCAGTGGCTTGGTGAGGCCTCTTGGGAAGAAACCCAAGATGACAGACTCAGGCTGCCTGGTGAGAGGGAGCTGGGATGGGGAGCGCAGGAGGGCGGGGGAACTTGCCAGCACCAGTGGCTTTGGTTTGCCCCAGAGCAAGGTCTCAGGGGGTGAAGGTGGGTGGGTTGGCATGGCGGGGAAGGAGCTGGGGCCACTGCCCCCCAGTGTCAGCTCCTTATAGCAGTGTGTCAGGGGTGGGGTACCTCAAGTTCCCAGCCAGCCCACTCTGTCCCCAAGATCACAAGGGCAGAGCAGGATTTCGAGGTGCGAACTGGACTCTGAAACCTGACTGCCTGGTGTGGACCCTGGTCGCCACTTCCCAGGGGTGTGACTCACATGGTACCTGCTCTGCTTTTCTCAGCACCGAGGCGTGTCTCCCTGATAGGTTATTGGAAAGAGAGATGAGTTCATAGTGGTAAAGGGCTGGCGCCTAAGAGGTGCCATATTACTATTACTATTATTAGCTGTCAGATCGTGGGCAAACGCTTAACTTCTCCAAGCTTCTGTTTCATCAACTGTAAAACAGGAGTGAGAACATCGAATCAGCAAATTGAGAGGATCCAAGGAGCCACCTGTGTGAAGGGAGCCTGCACGGTACCCTCCTGAACCAGAACCCTGCTCTTTGGGGTCTCATGAGTTTTCCCGCCAGAACCTGGCTCTGGCAAGTCCCTAAGGGATGCCCCATCCCACTGCCTCCTCCAGGCAGCCGTCCAAGCTGGAAGGGACCAGCCTCTCTCTAATCTCTCTTTTCACTTCCTTCTCTGCTCCTCCTCTGGCCAGGATGCTTTCTGGAGGCTGGACAAGACTGAGAGCAAAATCCCAGCGCGAGTGGTATTCCAGATCTGGGACAATGACAAGTTCTCCTTTGACGACTTTCTGGGTGAGCACTGCTTCTCATCAGCACCGTTCTGTACATTGGGGGCGACTCCAGAGCCCCCCTGTGTGTGTGTGCCATTCTTGGCTGGCTGGCAGGAGGTGCAGTCCTACTTTCTGCCCGCAGGGAGCTCAGAGTCCCTGGTCCTTGGTGCTGAGTGAGATCCTTGATGAAGAGTAGTGCCAGCGTGGTCAGCAGGATGGTCTAGTAGCAGAGGTGGCATTGACACTGCACCACGTTGGATGGTAGGACTCAGATAGGCGAGGAAGAGAGGGAAACACAGGCTAAGGCAGTGCAGGCATATGCTGTCCATCGCTGGCTGGCTGGCATCAGGCTTGACAGGATGCCTTCCACCCCTCCCCCGCCCCACCCCTCAGTCTAGATGCAGACTGAGCCCAGCCAGTGAGGGGCTCAAGACACTCTTCACCCTTGTGCCTGAGTGATGACCGAATGAGTGAACATGTCTCTCTCCCCCAGGCCCCAGACAGGATTCTTGGGGGCAGAAGTGTGCTGAACCCTGAACTGGGAAGCAGGGAGCACAGGGCCGAAGGATATGGTAGAGACCGTGTTCTCACAGGAGTGAGATTTGGGGGGAGGAGGACGGCCTTGTATGGGGCCAACAGGCTGGACTGTAACAGTCCCATCACAGCTATAAAAGTTAACCAGGAAAGTGCGGTCTACCCATAGAATGGTATATTATTCAGCCATAGAAAGAATGAAATACTGATACATACTACAGCATGGGTGGACCTTGAAAGCGTGCTAAGTGACACATATTTTATGACTCCATTGATAAGAAATGTCCACAATAGGAAGTTCTATATGGCTCAACATTGTTAGGCTTGGAAGAAGGGGGGAATGGGGAATGGCTGCTAATGGGTGTGCTGTTTCTTTTAGGGGTGGTCAATTTTGAATTAAAATGACAAATTTTATGACAAATAGATTTTTCTACGAAAAAACAATTACCCTTGTGCCTGAGTGATGACCGAATGAGTGAACATGTCTCCATTCCCCCAGGCCCCAGACAGGATTCTTGGGGGCAGAAGTGTGCTGAACCCTGAACTGGGAAGCAGGGAGCACAGGGCCGAAGGATATGGTAGAGACCGTGTTCTCACAGGAGTGAGATTTGGGGGGAGGAGGACGGCCTTGTATGGGGCCAACAGGCTGGACTGTAACAGTCCCATCACAGCTATAAAAGTTAACCAGGAAAGTGCGGTCTACCCATACAATTGTATATTATTCAGCCATAGAAAGAATGAAATACTGATGCATGCTACAGCATGGGTGGACCTTGAAAGCATGCTAAGTGACACATATTTTATGATTCCATTGATAAGAAATATCCACAATAGGAAATTCTATATGGCTCAACATTGTTAGGCTTGGAAGGAGTGGGGAATGGGGAATGGCTGCTAATGGGTGTGCTATTTCTTTTAGGGGTGGTCAATTTTGAATTAAAATGACAAATTTTATGACAAATAGATTTTTCTACGATAAAAACAATTTAAAATGGATGGATGATAGATGTAGACAATGAATGGATTCGTGCATAGGAAGATGAATAGTTGAGCTCTCTTAAGGCAAATCAATAGGTAGATTAGTGGGCATATGGGTACGTGAGTAGATGGATGGGAAGCTGTATGGATGGAGTAAGAGGGCATGGATGGGGAGCTGGAGTTTGAGGGATCTGACCTGTGGCTAAGCCCATGGATGGAGGTTGAGGAGGTAACTGTGAGTTTTTGTGGAACCTGCCCCGCCCCTGGGTGGGACTCGCTGCCAGTGACTGAGAAACCCTCCGACAAGGAACCCCTCTTTGCCACAGGCTCCTTGCAGCTGGATCTCAACCGCATGCCCAAGCCCGCCAAGACGGCGGAGAAGTGCTCCCTGGACCTGCTGGATGACACTTTCCACCCGGAGTGGTTCGTGTCCCTTTTTGAACAGAAAACAGTGAAGGGCTGGTGGCCCTGTGTGGCAGAGGAGGGTGAGAAGAAGATCTTAGCGGTAAGTCTGCTCCCCGCCAGCCAGTGGAGGCACCAGAGCATTTGTGTGCCTGTCCCCCCTCTCTTGTCCTCCCTCTCCCTGGTTTCCAAGGCGCCAGCCATCTTCCCTTTCTAGTTCCCAGCCTTCCTCTCCTTGAGGCTCACATACCAGGGGAGCCCATTTAAATCTAAAGATGCGCTTATCTCCCTCTGACCCTGTTTGTGCTCCGGCTCCTGGGTCTTCACAGTGATCTGTGTGCTGGGACCCCTCTGGCCTAGGCTCCTGTAGAGGACAGGGGTCCTGCCTCGCTCACTCGAGCAGGACCCTACAAGGGACCTTCCTTGTCCTACTGTTCTTGCCCAGAGGTCTGCTCAGGGGTGTGACAGGGGGCTGTGAGCTGTCCTTCCTCTGCAGAGGAAGTGAATCCCTGACACTTTATTTAGAAATATAGGCCGTCAGCCAGCCCCTAACGTGGCCCTTGAAATAAAATACCCTTGTTGTATAATGAATCATAACAACAAGAAATAATGAACACCTCAAAAAAAATGAGCAAAGGGCATGCATAGATAATGCACAAAAGAAGCACAGATGGGCATTAAACATTTGAAAAGGTTGACTCCCCGTAGTAATTAAATAAAGGCATATTTTAAAGTGTGAAAGCTTTTTGCCTATTAAATTAGGATTTAAAACCAGAAGTGCTCACTTCTGGTGAAGATGCAGACACGCTCCTCATTGACTTCTGCTGGGGTGCTCACGGTTCTACCAGGTGTGGAAGCAATTCGGTACATACAACAAGAGATTTAACGATACTTATGCCTTTGTCCTCTGTCATCCCACTTCTAAAAATCTCTCCAAAAGAAATCACCCGCTAAAAGGGAAAAAAATAGGTTCTGGGGTATTTGCTGCAGCATTATTTATAGTACTGCACAGTCGGAAACAACCTAAATGAACCAAAATAAGTAGTTTACGAAACAAATTATGGCCAACCATCCCATAGAATGTCTTACAGCCACTACGAAGCAAACTTTAAAGAGTATATAATTATACAGTAAAATAGGATGTATTTCTCAGTGAAAGAAGCAAGCCGGAGAAGTATGCGTACACAGTGTGGTAGTTCACATACTTGCCGAGAACACCGGCTCTGCTGCGTCACAATGTGAACGGGGCGTGTCTCCACACCGTGGAGGCGCCGCTGATGTTCTCCTTCGTCTGCACAGGCAGACCTCGGAGATATTGTGGGTTTGGTTCCAAATAACCACAACAAAACCAGTCACACGGATCTTTTGGTTTCCCAGTGCATATGGAAGCTATGTGTACACTATCTTGTAGTCTGTTAAGTGTGCCACAGCATTATGTCTATAAAAACAATGTACCTACCTTATTTTAACAATACCTGATTGCTAAAAAAATACGAAACATCATTTGGGCCTTCAGTGAGTCGGAATCTTTTTTGCTGGTGGAGGGTCTAACCTTCAATTTGTAAAAAATGCAATATCTGCAAAGCGCAGTAAGCAAAGCACAATAAAACAAGGTGTGCCTGTGTATTTCTGTAGTTTTTAAATGCTCTACGAGGAGCAGTTACTGCTTTTATGATCAGATCAACCCAATAGCACTAAAAAAATTAAATAAAGTGGCTCTTACTATTGTCCTGGGGTCCAGCCCTTGTCTTCCCTACATCATAGGCCCCTCCATCAATGGCTCCTCTCCCGGCCATTGGGCAGAGCCTCTGTCCCTCTGTCTCCACAGGGCAAACTGGAGATGACCTTGGAGATCGTAGCAGAGAGTGAGCATGAGGAGCGACCTGCTGGCCAGGGCCGGGATGAGCCCAACATGAACCCCAAACTCGAGGACCCAAAGTCAGTGCCAAGCCCCTGATCCCCGATGCCCAGGGGAGCTGGGAGGTGTAGCCACGGTCTAGGAGGCATCTATTGCAGAAGTCATGAAACATTTAAGAAGGTCACAATGCCCACATGGCCCAGAGAGGGCCACACAGTGTTAGGGGGCAGGTGACAGACGCCATTCCAGGAACACTGGGCTCCTCAGCTAGTTCCGGAAGCGGGCACTGTTGGGTAGCTATTGGCTGAGTGCTGAGCAAGCTGTCATATGGCATGTACATGCTGTGCTGTGGGACTTTCTCTGCTGGGTTGTTATTATCATCTCATTTTACAGGTGAGGAAACAGTCTTAGCAAAGTTGAGTAAGGAAAGTGGTGAGGCTGGAATTCTCCCACTTGATCTGATTGGCTCTGGAGCCTGATCAGGGTTTTTCCCTTGACCAAGCTGTCTTCCATGGCTCTCCTGGTGTCAGTGTGGCTTTCAAACAGTCTTTCAGCCGTCATTTTCCCATCTGTGAAATGGGGGACCGGTCCTTATCTTCCCTACCACATAGGCCCCTAAGTGGATGTAGACGCCTTGAAGGCAGTTACTGGGGGCTGAAAGACTACAGTTGGGGGAGGTGGTGTCAGGGTTGCATTTGCTAGGTCCTCCCCTGTGGCCTGTGTGGCTCAAGTCAGACTTAGCAGAGACAGCCCACTTTATCACCAGGCTGCTCCAAGTGCCACGGGGCTGGCAGAGTGGGGAGAGCCATCCTGGGATGGCTGGGATCTGGCTGGAAAAACGAGAGAGGCCCAGGAGATCCAGTGGCATGTAGTTAAAAGGCCATTATTGCGACACAAAATCCTGCAAGCTCATTGAGTTGTGAGGCTGACCTTGGGGCAGGTCTTGAGGTTCTTGGTTATGAGAGAAACTGGGCTCACTTCCCATGGACCAGCCATGTGTATCTAGTCAGGTGGCTTGGCTTATCTGGGGCTCATTGGGCCATAGCTCACTTAATGTGACAGTCCCTTGAGGTTCTGCCCAGCTCCCAAATCTCTAGTCTTTTAAGTCCTGGGTCAGGAAGGAAAGAGGGTGGCAGGGAAGGTGTCCTGGACAGAGTGGCAGAGAAGGGGCCCCTGAGGGTGTATAGGGTTGGTGGCACCATGAAAAGAAGGGCAGCTCGGGTGGGGCTCACACTATAGCAAAGGCTTGGAGGACAAGGGAATGCAGGTGAGTTCTGGGGTAGGAACTGGGTCTCCAGGCTGGGTGGGGCCTGGGGCTGACTGTGGAGGGTCAGGGTGGTTTGGGAGCAGGACTTGGAGAAAGCGGCCATGGTAGGTCTGCCTGCTGACCTCTGGGATCTCACTTCCAGGCGCCCTGACACCTCCTTCCTCTGGTTCACCTCCCCGTACAAGACGATGAAGTTCATCCTGTGGCGGCGGTTCCGGTGCACCATCATCCTCTTCATCATTCTCTTCATCCTCCTGCTGTTCTTGGGCATCTTCGTCTATGCCTTCCCGGTGAGCAGGCCGGGCAGGGGAGGCACAAGCCCTGTCTTGGAGGAGCTCCTGGTCTGATGTGGGGGGCACAGCTCTTGACCTCCAGCAGAGCCCGGACTCAGGGAGAGTCGGTCCTTGTCCTCAAAGAGCCCCAGTCTGATGGAGAGACGCAGCCTCTGTCCTTGCAGAGCCCACGGTCTGAGGAGGGAGACATGACCCCTACTCTGGGAGTTCCCAGTCTGGTAGACAAAGTCCTACCCTTAGGGAGCTCTTAGTCCAAAAGGGGAAACAGTTCTTGCTGTCGATGGGAAGACATAGCTGTCCTCAGCAAGCCCCTGGACTATGTAATCAAAGGGTAGGTGAGCCCCTGGGTAGGGGGAGTGGGGGACCTTCCTGTGGAGGGTGTGGGCCTGTCCCCCTCTCTTGTCCTCCGTCAGGAAGGGACGGTGTAGATGGCAGAATAGAGGAGGAGGTCCCTCTGTTTGCGAGGATGGCACCTGCTGAGGTCCAGAGGAAGGGACCTGGGGCCAGGAGAGGGTCTCTTGTCCACCTGAGCACAGTGACACAGTGTCCCGCCTCCTGCAGAGGGTAGGCCTGGGGGAAGATGTGTGTGGATAGACAGGAGGTGGCCCTCTCACGTGGTACAGTGCACATGGGGGTCCCTTTCACCTGGTGAGAAGCCAGTTGTTGCCCCCCAGCTCCATGGGGCCGCGCCCAAAAGAGGAGGATCTGGGGCTGTATTCTTGGTCTTGGCTTCCCTGGTCCTCACAGCTCATCAGGGGAACCCTGAAGATGCTCCAGCCCCCTACCCTGTCCCCCAATGTCTCTGGAACTTGAAACTTTGAAGGGACCACAGTGTTACCAGGCTGATGCCTGACTTTTAATATTCTTTAAGCAATTTTAAACCTTTATAAATGAAAATTTCAAACTGATATGAAAATAGGATGGCATAATCAACTCCATATCACCCTGATTTGTTGTTGTTTTTTAATCCTCATTTGAAGACATTTTTCCATTGCTTTTTAGAGAGAGTGGAAGGGAGGGAGGGAGGGACGGAGAGGGAGAGGGAGAGAGAGAGAGCGAGCCATCGATATGAGAGACAAACATCAATTGGTTGCAGGTTATTGAACCTGCAACCCAGATGTGTGCCCTTGACTGGTAATCGAACCCTAGACCCTTTGGTGTGCTGGCTGACGCTCTAACCACTGAGCTATGCTGGCCAGGGCCATGTCACCCTGATTTGAATGGCAAAGAAGGAGACAACCAGAGAAGAAAAGGGACTGGCTCAGGGCTTCAGGGCAGTCTGTTCATGGCTCCTAATGCAGGGACACTGTAGGCCTCAGTCTGGTCAAGTGCAGTACACACACAGCAAGCAGTCTGCTCTGGGAATAACTTGCCTGTGTGCATTTTGCTTTGTGAATCCTGCAGGAGGAGGAGGTGGGTGGAGAGCTCTCTCCCGCAGTGACTGGCGAGAGCCCATGCACCAGCAGGGTTTCCATGTGTGAGAATGTAATTTAAAGTTATATATATAAAAGGCTAATATACAAAGTGTCTCCTCGGGAGTTCCACCTGGAGACTGGGAGTTCGATTGCTCACTATGATGTGCGCTGACCACCAGGGGGCAGCGCGGAACGAAGGAAGGCTCCGGCCGCCAGCCAGAAGGCCCTGATGGGCCCTGATTGCTGCCCAGGCCTAGGGACCCTAACAGTGCACGAATTTTGTGCACTGTGCCTCTAGTTTCATTATAATGTTGATGTGATGCTGGAGGAACTTAACTCTTGTTTCTATCAGTTAGCTTATGGTAAAAATTGGTTTCGTTATATGTCGCGTCACAAGTGTCAGAATTTGTTGACGATGTTGAGTGAGGACTTACTATATTAGCAGCGCTGACCACCAGGGGGCAGCATGGAACGAAGGAAGGCTCCAACCCCCAGCCTGAAGGCCCCGATCGGCCCTGATTGCCGGCCAGGCCTAGGGACCCTACCAGTGCACGCATTTCGTGCACCGGGCCTCTAGTTTCATTATAACGTTGATGTGATGTCAGAAGAACTTAACTCTTGTTTCTATCAGTTAGCTTATGGTAAAAATTGGTTTCGTTATATGTCGCTTCACTTAAAGTGTCAGAACCTGTGGACGATGTTGAGTGAGGACTTACTATATTAGCAGCTTGCACCTCTTGTAGTTAAAACCACAAAGCCATCCCTTTGGTCTCTTACATGGACTGTGGAGACCAGCAGAGGGAACCATTTGGGCCTAAGTGACAAAGGAGGGTCTAGGTCCAGAAATTCACGGTCCTCCCATCAGCATAAGGATGCGCGGGTTGGACTGGGTCAGCTCTGACCTGCTGTGCTAGCATAGTGGTTAGGGGAGCCCTTTCACCTTCCTTGGGGGCCTTCACATCAAGCCAGTGTCCTCCTGAAGAGCTAAGGGGAGGGCAAGGCAGGGCCAGAGTGACATCCCCACCACCCTTTCTGTGCCTAGTGCCTGCCCCTGCCTGGCGGGGGGAGGAGAGAAGATTTCCAGTCACGAGGGAACCATTTGGGCCTAAGTGACAAAGGAGGGTCTAGGTCCAGAAATTCACGGTCCTCCCATCAGCATAAGGATGCGCGGGTTGGACTGGGTCAGCTCTGACCTGCTGTGCTAGCATAGTGGTTAGGGGAGCCCTTTCACCTTCCTTGGGGGCCTTCACATCAAGCCAGTGTCCTCCTGAAGAGCTAAGGGGAGGGCAGGGGCAGGGCCAGAGTGACATCCCCACAGCTCTTTCTCTGCCTAGTGCCTGCCCCTGTGAGGCAAGTGGGCAGCAGACCAGGCCTTCAGGGTCTGGAGAAGGTGCCCCGCTGCCTGGCGGGGGAGGAGAGAAGATTTCCAGTCAATTCCAGCCCGTGCTCCTTCCTTGTCCCTAGAGCAGCCTTAACCCCGGGCCCTGTGGGCAGAGCAGAGGGGCACTTTGCCGCTAGCCCTGGTCAGAACCCTCCCCTGTCTCCGGGGTCTCTAGCAGTGGCCATCACCCTCCTTTGAGTTCTTCTGAAAATTGTCCTCTTTAAAACACCAACTTCACCATCCCTCTCCCAGGACTGGCGTATCGGGGGACAAATCATAGGTGAGAGGTCCAGGGCTGGAGGGGCAGCCTGGGCCTGAGGCCGCAGACTGGTTATGTGGACAGGCCTTTGCTACAACCTGGGCAAATCTTGCTTCTCTCCAGCCAAGTTGCTCCATCACCTGGTGGCCCAAGACCTTCACCTGGCTTTTTGGCCTTGGGGGGAGGGCAGAGGGCCTGGTGGAGGGGACTACGTCGAGGGGCTGCTCCTTCCAGTTGGTCTAGTCTCCCACCCTCTTGGAAGCTCCCCTGGGAGGGGGACAGGGAGGGCAGCCTGTCTGGTTCCTCCCGCTGCCCCCAGCCAGCGGGAGCAGGGCCAGCGTGGGGAGGCAGCGGATCTGGCGGGAAGGCTTTGTTTCCAGAGCTGGCTTTCCCGGGCCGGCGCTGGGGAACATACTGTCCCAATTAGGAGCCCTGTGTTGTGTTGTATGTGTTTTCATGGTTTGGGGGGAGGAGTGGGGTGGGAGATTCCTTTCAGTCCTACAGCAGCCAGGGTCTAATCAGGGGTGACCCATCCCAGGTGCTGGCCTGCATCGCGGGTCATCCCCGTACACCAGCCCCCCAACTCTCTCTCTCTCTACTTTCTGGACAGGAGCATGGTGGCCAGTGAGCCCTGGGTCCATGTGGGAGGGGGCGAGGGTCATGGCCATGCCTTCAGGCCACCTGTCTGACGAAGAGGCCAGGGCAGGCCCTGGTGGTCAGAATCCTCTTGGCTGTGGTTGGAACATGAGAGTAGGCCCTGGATTGATGGGGGAGAAGACAGAGCAATTCAGGCAGCTGTGGCCCCCCAACTGGGAGGGTTCCAGAAGAGTTTCAGGAAAGTCTGGGCTTGTGTGATTGGCAAGGGCACCAGGAGGGTGGTGTTGAGCTGAGTGAGGGGTAAGGGTGCTGAGGGCGAAGTGCAGGCAGGTGGTTGAGTAGATGAGCCTCCTTTCCCTGCTCCGTCCCTCCTGCAGCTGTCATCACGTGTCCCTGCCTCCTCTCTCCTCTAGAACTATGCTGCCATGAAGCTGGTGAAGCCCTTCAGCTGAGGACTGCCTGGCCCAGGACTGGCTGCTTCCTCTGCCCAGCTCAGCTGAGCTCCTCCAGACCTCCAGGCCAGACCGTCCTGCCAGGGTGGGCAGACAGACAGGTGGACTGGCACATGCTCCAAGAGTTGGTAACATCGAGCCCTGGGATCACCCACTTTCATCATTTCTTCCTCCCCCAGTTCGACCCTTTTTGGATCAGCCCATGTGCATTTCAGTATAAAATGGTTGGAACCTCAAAGCTGTGTTGGTGTGTGTATCTCTTTAGAACCTGAATGGGGTGTGACTGTGTAGGCATGTATCTGCGTGGGCGGGGTGGGAGTGGAGTGTGGAACATCTCTGGCTCAGCCTTCTGAGTGGAACTGTGAATCTTTTGTCAAGACTGCTTGTGGGCAGGGTGAGCTTTGAGGCTTAAAGACCCAGTGTGTTCTGTGTCTCCAGGACTTTCCGCCTCCCCCTCCCTCCTCACTCAGGCATCACCTCTTCCCTTTCCAGGTGCCCTTTGCTTAGGTCAGCGGTTCTCAACCTGTGGGTCTCGACCCCTTTGGCGGTCGAACGACCCTTTCACAGGGGTCGCCTAAGACCATCCTGCATATCAGATATTTACATTACGATTCATAACAGTAGCAACATTACAGTTATGAAGTAGCAATGAAAATAATTTTATGGTTGGGTCACAACATGAGGAACTGTATTTAAAGGGCCCGAAGGTTGAGAACCACTGGCTTAGGTAATAGTTACCTTTGCCTTGTGGTCACACTTGGGAAGGAGTTCCACTTTATGAAAATTGAGCCCCAAGGAATGGGTTGGGCCAGAAGCTATCTAGACAGGGCGGGCTGCTGGTCTTGGGATTTCTTGGGATCCCCTCCCTCTGCTTCCTCACTCTTCTTTCAAGATCTGGTCTGGACAAACACACCTTTTTCTTGTGGTCTGAAGCTTAGCATTTGCCATGGGTCTGACATCTCCTGCAGGAATCAAGTTTAATCCACGGGAGCAGCAGGAACATACTTAGAGAAAAAGCAAAAAGCATGAAAACATCTCTCCCCCGAGGGCTGGAACTCTGGAGCGCAGCTGGCCGCATTCTCCTTTTACCCAGGAAGCGTCTCCTATTTCCCGCTGTGAGCCCGCTCCTTGGCCCAGACCCCAAGGCCCCAAAGTGATCCTTCCAGACGCCTTTGTCTTGACTGCACTCTGAGATCTAGACAGGGGCCCTGCCAGGTCCCCCCTGATCGGCAGGGCTGGAAGTGATTGGCACAGGCTGGCTGATGACCTGGGCCCTCCTGGAAGAGGGAGCTACACCTCCAATGCTGAGTGATTCTCTCTTCAGGAGAGGGCAGGCTGGCGGTGGCCTTCAGTGTCCAGGCTCTGCATGGGCCTGAGAACCTGGGTGTCTAAGTCCTGAGACCTTGACAACGGAACCCTGGAGCCAGGTGGCAACACCTCACACAGAACACGGAGCAGGGACCAGGGTCCAAGGTTCTTCTGAGAAGGTCAGTCTGGTGATGCACTTTCCTTGAGCACCCACTGCGCATGCCTGTGCCAAGGCCCTGAGAATCAGCCTCCTACAGAGGAGACTGTAGGAGAAAGGGAGAAAGAGGCAGGGCTGTGGCCTCCAGAGGTGTGGAGAGAGCTCGAGAGGCTGGGGAGCCCGAGAACATCTGAAGGTAGAGAGGAGGAAGCCACTGGGGAAGGGAAGATCAAAGACACAAGACAGAATGTGGGATAATTCATGGGACCAGTTTCTGGAGAGGAAGAGAACGGGGTTAGCTTGGAAGGAAAGTTGTCTTTTCTTCCAGGGACTGGAAGGCAGGAGGAAATAAACACACGCCATGCAGCTATCAGCTGGGTTAAGAGAGTTTTGGGGGATACTGACTGTGTCCACACATTCATTTTTTTTCATCCATTCATTTGCTTTTTCTTGCTGTCCTGAGTTGCACGTAATAGAACACATTACTCAAACTAGTAAAGGGAACTTAATGGCTTTATGGAAGCAAAATCTCAGTCCTCAACTAGGTCACCAAGAGCTTGCATTCTCTCTCAGCTCATCAGGGTGGGCTGCGTCTAAAACCAGCTTTATTCTTAGAGTTGGGGTGAAAGCTGCTCCCTGGTATAGGCCACCGAGCAACACGAAGGGGAATAGGGAGTGGGTGGTGAGGAGACCAGCAAACATTTATGAGATCCTCCACACGGCAGCCCAAAAGCAGGTTCTAGGGTACAGCAGTGAGTTACATATGACTCCTAACCTTCCGAGGCTTCCGAAAAGTGTATTAGGAAACCATGGTTATTTTTACTCCTTTGGGAGCAGCAGAGAAGGGGCACCCACTGCCCTGGGGTAGGGAGGGCAGGAGAACCTCAAGAACAAATATGATCTGCGCAGCCAGTGTGGCTCAGTGGTTGAGCATCTACCCTTTAACCAAGAAGTCACTGGTTCAATTCTGGGCCAGGGCATATGCCTGGGTTGCAGGCTCAGTCCCCAGCAGGGGGTGTGCAGGAGGCAGCCGATTGATATTGATGTTTCTCTTTCATCGATGTTTCTATCTCTCTTTCCCTTCCTCTCTTTCTCAAATCAATAAAAACTTTTTTTTTTAATAAAAAGAACAAATCGGATCTGAGCAGAATGTTGGATAGGCCCTGTGACTAAGCGGGTCAAAGTATGCTGGGCCACAGAAGTAGAGGGAAAGTCTGGAGCTGTCAGAGAGCCTGGCTGCTTCAGGACATGGTCACGGGAGAGGGAGCCTGCGGGAAAGCATGCTGAGATGGGAGGGAAGAGGGGTTGGAAGGGCAAGGCCAAGTGTTGAAGGGCATTGTATGTGCAGTTTTGGAGTTAGAACTTCATTCTGGAGGCAAGGAAGAACACAGAAGGACATAAAACTGGACTTGGAAAAATTCTAGCTTAGGGCTTATCTTAAGAAACGGGAATCCACTGGGTACACATGGGTGGGCTTCAGGTTATAGTTCTTATGGCCTTTGAGGAGGTGAAGGTTTAGTGATCTCCCCCAGTCCTCAACAAGGTCCGTAATCACAAATGGTGAAGAATAATTGCTTAAGACGCTGTGTGGCCAGTTGCTGAGGGCCATTCTAAAGGCTGCTTTATTAGTCCAACAGCCAACTGGGGAATATCTGAAAGGCAGGGCAGAAGTGATTCATTCATTCATGCCTTTTATTCATATATATATATATACACTAGTGGCCAGATTATGACCACCCCATCAGTACTTCGTTGGGCCACCTTTTGCCTTCAATACTGCAGCGATTCTTCTTGGCATTCACTCCACAAGATGTTGAAAGGTGATGCGAGGAATCTGACCCCATGCCTGATGAATAGCACTGTCCAGTTCTGTGAGATTTGATGCTTGTGGAACCAGCTGCCTGATGGCTCTTTTAACTTTGTCCCACAAATGTTCAATTGGATTGAGATCTGGTGATTGTGGGGGCCACCTAAGCAAGGTAAAGTCTCCCTCATGTTCTTGAAACCACTCCTGCACAATACGAGCACTGTGGCATGGCGCATTGTCTTGTTGGAAGAAGCCATCTCCATTGGGATACGCCATCAACATGATAGGATGAACTTGATCAGCAATGATACTTAGGTATGTTGTGCTATTCAGACGTTGTTCCACATGAATTAAAGGGCCCAAATCATGCCAGGAAAACATGCCCCAAACCATAACACTGCCCCCACCAGCTTGAAGGATTGTACTCATGCATGTGGGGTGCATGCTTTCATGATGTTTCCGCCAAATTCTCACTCTGCCATCTGCATGATGCAACTGGATTCATCGGACCACATGACTTTTTTTCCAATGCTTGACTGTCCAATCCTTGTGTTCCTGTGCGAATTGGAGACGTTTTATCTTGGTAACTGCAGACAGCAAAGTGTTCGAACAGGCCTTCAGCTTCCATAGTCCATATGATGCAGTGTATGGCTAATTTGCGTACAAATGTCAGGTGGTCATAATAATCTGGCCACTCAGTGTATATACTGTGTATCAGGCAGGGTGCTACAGTCTAAAGATACAATGTTGAGCAAGATAAACATGGTTCCCAGAGCTCACAACTAAGGAGATAAGAGACATAAGTAGATCGTCAATTATAATACACTGATGGATGAACAGGGGTTGCAGGATTAGGGCAAGGGTGGAAAAGATGAGAGAGGGAACGGAGTGTGCGTAAAGACTGGCCAAATTTGCACATGAGCACAGAGCAGTGATTCTCAACCAGGGGCAATTCCCCCACCACTCCCAGGGCACATTTGGCAATGTCTAGAGATGTTTTTTGATAGTCAAGAGTGAAGGTTGGGGGGTGAGGGTGCTACTGGCTTCCAGGAGCTGCTAAGCACCTTTTAATGCATAGGACAGCCCCTCGCCCCCAATAATTATCCAGTTTAAAATACTGATAGTGCTGCTGTTGTAAAACTCTGGCATGGAGATAGTGGATTCTAGAGATACTGAGTGATTAGACTTGGTAGACCTGTAGGATTAACTAGTTAGGGCTTAAGGGGTCAGGGGTGTGTGGGATGGGAGTTAAATTCAAAATGATTCCCAACTGTCTGGCTTTATGAGTGGTGGTACCAATCACGAAGTCAGTTTTGGACAAGAAGTTTCAGGCATGTTTAGGGCACAATCAAAATGTCCTTCCTGCCCCCATGTCTCTCATCTCGAAGTTGTAGAAAGCATCATCTACACCTGCTGTCTCCATGTCTCCTTACCTCGAGCTCATTCCTCCACCCACTGCGGTCTGACTTTATTCAGGGGGCAGACTCTGTGGGTCTCCTTTCCCAATAGCCACCCCCTCTCTTTTCCTCTTTGGTGATACCCTTCACCTTTCCCTATGGCCATGTGCCCAGAAAGGAGGCTGCCACAGCCCTAGGGCGAAGTGTCTTATTAGCCCACACCAGTCACAGTGAAGCCAGTACCCTTGCCAGTGATTGGCTTAGGAAGAGGCATGTGACTCATTCATGACCAATGGGAGTGAGGGGAAGGTGGAGGTAGCTATGGGGGGTAAGGGGGCAGGATAAAAGTTTCTCTGAAAGTTTTATCCCCCCTCCCAACAACAAAGGACACGCACAGGGATATGCTGCTTCACCTGCCTTTTAATCTTGTTGGGGAGAAATGTAATGACGGGAGCCATGGTTGCCATCTTGTGATGCTGAGGGACAAGCCTGAGGAAGAAAGCCAACATGCAGAGGATGGCAAGGACCTGGTGCTCCAGGGGGTGACTGAGAAAGAACCGACGC